TCCAAAGAAAGTTGTCGATGTTTTGGAATGGTCCACACCAAGGAATCTCCATGATATTCAAGTATTTCTGGGATTTGCGAATTTCTATCGACGTTTTATTTTAGGGTATTCAAAAATTGTTGCTCCGCTTACAGCTCTGACCAAGAAAAATGTTAAATTTGAATGGACGGATGAAAGGGAGGAAGCATTCCAGACATTGAAAAGGATGTTCACAACAGCACCCATACTAATGCACTTTGATCCGGATCGGAAAATCGTGGTAGAAACCGATGCATCCGATTATGTTTCTGCTGGAATTCTGTCCCAACGTGACGACGAAGGAATTCTACATCCAGTCGCTTTCTTCTCTAAGAAACATTCCCCTGCGGAATGTAACTATGAGATCTATGACAAAGAACTCCTGGCAATCGTACGATGTTTTGAGGAATGGCGACATTATTTAGAGGGGGCACAATTCCCAATTGAAGTTCTTAGCGACCATCGGAACCTCGAATATTTCATGTCAACAAAGTTATTAAACCGTCGACAAGCCCGTTGGTCGGAATTTCTTTCACGTTTCGATTTTGTCATTCAATTTAGACCAGGGAAACAAGGAGCAAAGCCGGATGCATTGACTAGGAAGTCGGGTGACCTACCTAAGGAGGGGGATGAACGGTTGACGCATCAAAGCCAGGTGGTTTTGAAGCGAAAAAATTTGGATTCAAAGCTAAGTTTGTTCGCGGGTTCTTTTTCAAATGAATCCGCTGAAGGAATGTCCACTGTAGAAGAGTTGTTTTCAAATGCTTATCAAGTTGACAGTTTCCCGAACAAAGTCCTTGCGATGCTTCGGAATGGCGTTCGCCATTCGAATAAAATTTCACTTGCTGAATGTACGGAGGACAACAATGGTCGGCTACTTTATCGTGGCGCACTCTACGTACCGGACGACAATGACCTTCGAATAAAACTTCTAAAAGAATACCATGATAACCCATCGGCAGGCCATCCAGGCAGAGCAAAGACTTTGGAACTCCTGAATCGAGAATAGTACTGGCCACGAATGCGAAATTATGTCGATCAGTATGTTAGGAATTGCAATGTGTGTGCCCGTAGCAAGGCATCACGCAATGCGCCCTACGGAGTACTCCGACCTATGCCAATACCTGATGGACCATGGATGGATGTATCGATGGATTTTGTTACAGACCTTCCGGAGAGTGATGGGTACAATGCAATTCTAGTTGTGGTGGATAGACTAACTAAAATGCGACATTTCATACCCACAACTAAAGAGGCGGATTCAAAAGAAGTAGCGAGGTTATATATCGATAATGTTTGGAAATTACATGGACTCCCTGAAACTATGGTATCTGATCGAGGAACACAATTTGTTGCGGAATTCTGGAGGTCACTTTGCGATCGTTTGGAAATATCGCCAAAATTCTCTACAGCGTTTCACCCCCAGACGGATGGACAAACGGAAAGAATCAATGCTGTGATGGAACAATACCTTCGAAGTTATGTTTCTTATCAACAGGACGACTGGGTTCGATGGTTGCCAATGGCCGAGTTTGCAACAAATAACCATGCTTCTGAAACGACGAGAATCTCTCCATTTTACGCCAACTCAGGGAGGAATCCAAGAATGACTTTTGGTCCTTTGGAACATGGTAGGACGACAGCGGAGGATCAGGCCAATAGTATTGCAAGGGAGATGAAGGATATATTGGATTTTCTAAAGGATGAATTATTTCGAGCGCAAAGGATTCAAGAAGAGTCCGCCAATATACGTCGAACTCCAGCACCTCACTATCGAGTAGGAGATCGAGTTTTCTTATCAACACGCCATGTCCTCACCAAACGACCATCGAAGAAACTTGATTGGAAACGCATTGGACCATACATCGTGAAGCGGATCGTTAGTCCTTATGCCTGTGAGTTGGAACTTCCTCGTTCCATGAAAGTTCATCCCGTATTCCATGTCTCTTTATTGTCGTCTGCAGCAAACGATCCTTTACCAGGACAACAACAGTTACCACCACCGCCGGTCGAAGTTGAAGGACAGGAGGAGTGGGAAGTCGAGGATATTTTGGATTCCAGGGATCGTCGGGGAAGATTTGAATACTTGGTTAAGTATGCCGGTTATGACGAAGCTTCGTGGCAGCCATTGTCGGATTTCGAACATTCGCCCGATATTGTCAAACGATTTCACAAACGATATCCACGGAAGCCTAAGCCTACCAGGAGGTAGGCCGTAGAGGGGGGAGTGGTCTGTAACGGCAGCCATATGGTTTGGTCATGCGAGGTGTTAGGGTACCAATAGGAAGGGTTATGCAGTGTGGTTGGGTTTAGCGAAGTGGGTTTCTATTATGTTCTTTCTGTTTCTGTTACGCGAGAGTATGAGTCAGCATTGGGATAGGGTATGGATATATAAGGGGGGCGTTGTCTCGTGATTTCTTGTTTCTCTTTCTTTTCCTTTTCTCTTTATGCAACCTCTGTACTTTACAGTCACGAATACTATTTGGTTCGCGCTACGTCATAGGGTTTACCCGGTATACTAGACCAGGTACAACCATCCATAGTCCATAGTCCACAGTCCCCGTTCTTGCCTTAGGTGTACCCTTCGGCTCCATAGTCCATAGTCCACGAACCTCCTACGTCCACGTCTTCGCCTCGGTTGTATTCCTTGGCTTCATAGTTCCTACGCCCATAGTCCCCGTTATAGGGGTGAACGGTGGACGCATCCCGTGAGGGCACTGAACGAGCAAAGAATGGGGGGTGTCGAGCGAGGGAAGTTCAGGGACCGAAGCAATTCGAGAATCAGTATAACTCCATCTCGGGGGGAAGAAATCCTACCGCGAGTGTAACGGGGGTCCTTTCTAAAAGAAATAGATTTGTATAGAATAGAGACGGCCGTGCAAGATAGACAATCAGGTTGCAGATTATTCAAAGATTGTATCGCTAGAACTCAATAATCTTTAAGGGCTCTGCTACCGATGAGAACTTGGTTTTTCTTTCTGATGAAGACTGGAGAGAATAGGACTGAAGGGCGGGAATGAACCTGAGTACTTATACTCCGAAGGCCTCTGTTCTCTGCTCCTAACTCCTTTTACTAAGTTCCGGTGGGCCTTCCCTCAGTACCGGAAACAATACCACCGCTACCCCGCTTTTCTCTAAGCGTCAGCAGGTGTTTCCGATACCCAAGGCAACCACCCTTAGTCAAAGCCTTTGTAACACCTGCAGCCTTGGTTGCCACACAACTGAGGACCTGCATGAATGAGCTGCCGCTCAGGTGTAAGCTTAATCATTGCTGTAGAGCTTTCGCTTATTGTAGACTTCCCTAGCATAGTCCCTGCCCTTCGGCGGACTTACAATGCACCGAGGATACAGAGGATCACCGGTCAATCAGAGCTTCACTCTGGCCGGTCTTCTAGTCACTGGCGAGGCATAGACTCGTCAGTCATTGCTCCCATGAATAGATCCTCTTCCTAGCGCCCGGAATGTAGTTACTCTAACAGCTGGTAGCTAACCACACTGCCGGTACTTGCATATCACCGTGCAACTGGCTTCTAACAATAGCTCTCAGCATGTAACCGGGCCCTGTGTGTACTCATACACCAGACAGTTGAAATGGCTCCGTTACAGCGAGCCAGAGGCGAGCGGGTAGAATACAGAGGTTGCGTAAAGAGAAAAGAGAAAGAAAGAGAAACAAGAAATCACGAAACAACGCCCCCCTTATATATCCATACCCTATCCCAATGCTGACTCATACCCTCGCGTAACAGCAACAGAAAGAACATAATAGAAACTCGCTTTACTAAACCCAACCACACTACATAATCCTTCTGCCTTGTACCCAGACAACTCACATAGCCAATCCGACTAGCTGCCGTTACAAGCGTGGAACAAGAATAATATTCGTGGAGTAGAATACAGAGGTTGCATAAATAAAGAAGGAAAGAAAGAAAACAGATAAAGCACGAAACAACACCTCCTTATATATCCAACCATAATCCAATGATGACTAAAACTTCCGCGTAATAGAAACTAAAGAACATAACAGAAATCCCTATTACAAATCCAAATCCCACTACACAATACTTCCTCTTCATATTCCAATTTATCCCTAACCGAAATACATAGTTGCCGTTACAGACCACGCCTCCCTCTAAGGCCTACCTCCTGGTAGGCTTAGGCTTCCTTGGATAACGCTCGTGGAATCGTTTAACGATATTAGGTGAATGCTTAAGGTCTGATAATGGATTTCAGGAGGCTTCATCATATCCCATATATCGTACCAAATACTCAAACCTTCCTCTTCGTTCCCTCGAATCCAAAATATCTTCGACTTCCCATTCTTCTTCTCCTTCGATTTCAACTGGAGGTGGTGGCAATTGTTGTTGTCGTGGTAAAGGATCATCTGTTTCGGGTGACAATAACGAAACAGGAAATACTGGATGAATCTTCATTGATCGAGGAAGTTTCAATTCGTAAGCATAGAGATTGATAATCCGCTTCACGCTATAAGGTCCAATACATCTCCAATCGAATTTCTTAGAAGGCCGCTTTGTTAGAATATGATGTGTCGATAGGAAAACCTTATCTCCTAAATAATAACGAGGAGCTGGAGTCCGATTCCTATTGGCTGACTCTTCTTGTATCCTTTGCGCCCGAAACATCTCTTCTCTTAGAAAATCCACTACATCCATCATTTCTTTTGCAATACGATTAGCTTGATCCTCCGCCGTCGTTCGACCATGTTCCAAAGGACCAAAAGTCATCCTTGGATTTCTTCCCAAATTGGCGTAAAAAGGAGAGACTTTTGTTGTTTCTGAAGCATGATTGTCTGTCGCAAACTCGGCCATTGATAACAATCGAGCCCAATCGTCCTGTTGATAAGATACATAGCTTCGAAGGTATTGTTCCATTACGGCATTGATTCTTTCCGTCTGTCCATCTGTCTGAGGATGAAATACGGTAGAGAATTTCGACGATATTTCCAACCGATCACAAAGCGACTTTCAAAACTCCGCAACGAACTGTGTTCCTCGATCAGATACAATGGTATTAAGTAATCCATGTAGCTTCCAAACGTTATCGATGTAAAGCCTCGCTACCTCCCTTGAATCTGCCTCTTTAGTCATTGGTATTAGATGTCGCATTTTGGTTAATCTATCCACCACAACTAAGATTGCATTGTGTTCATCGCTCTCAGGGAGATCGGTAACAAAATTCATTGACACATCCATCCACGGTCCATCAGGTATTGGCATCGGATGAAGTACTCCATAAGGTGCATTTCGAGGCGCCTTGCTACGGGTGCACACATTGCAATTCCTAACATATTGATCGACGTATCTTCGAATCTGTGGCCAATAATATTCTCGATTTAGGAGTTCTAACGTCTTTGCTCTGCCTGGATGACCTGCCGATAGTTTGTCATGGTGTTCTTTTAGGAGCCTTAGCCAAAGATCATTGTCCTCTAGTACATATAGTGCACCTCGATAAAGTAGCCCACCGTTGTTATCTTCCATACATTCGGCAAGCGAAATTTCATTCGAATGATGAATGCCATTCCGAAGCATAGCAAGGATCTGATTTGGGAAACTATCAACTTGGTAAGCTTTTGAAAATAACTCCTCTACAGTAGACGCTCCTTCTGTAACGGGGGTCCTTTCTAAGAGAAATAGAATCGGATTGTAACGGGGGTCCTTTCTAAGAGAAATAGATTTGTGTAGAATAGAGACGGCCGTGCAAGATAGACAATCAGGTTGCAGATTATTCAAAGATACTATCGCTAGAACTCAATAATCTTTAAGGGCTCTGCTACCGATAAGAACTTGATTTTTCTTTCTGATGAAGACTGGAGAGAATAGAACTGAAGGGCGAGAATGAACCTGAGTACTTATACTCCGAAGGCCTCTATTCTCTGCTCCTAACTCCTTACTAAGTTCCCGTGGGCCTCTCCTTAGTACCGGAAACAATACCACCGCTACCCCGCTTTTCTCTAAGCGTCAGCAGGTGTTTCCGATACCCAAGGCAACCACCCTTAGTCAAAGCCTTTGTAATACGTGCAGCCTTGGTTGCCACACAACCAAGGACCTGCATGAATGAGCTGCCGCTCAGGTGTAAGCTTAATCATTGCTGTAGAGCTTTCGCTTATTGTAGACTTCCCTAGCATGGTCCCTGCCTTTCGGCGGACTTACAATGCTCCGAGGATACAGAGGATCACCGGGCAATCAGAGCTTCCCTCTGGCCGGTCTTCTAGTCACTGGCGAGGCATAGACTCGTCAGTCATTGCTCCCATGAATAGACCCCCTTCCTAGTGCCCGGAATGTAGTTACTCTAACAGCTGGTAGCTAACCACACTGCCGGTACTTGCATATCACCTTGCAACTGGCTTCTAACAATAACTCTCAGCATGTAACCGGGCCCTGTGTGTACTCATACACCAGACAGTTGAAATGGCTCCGTTACACCACTCCCCTCTTCCAGGATCTTGGTCTCCGAGATCTATAATCATTTTATTACCATCCATCCTATGTGACAAGAAACTCCGTGATATGCAAGGAACGAAAACCTAAAGGGAAAAACTACACCCCAACAATCCGCTTGTCCTTGGGTTTCTTAGGATACCTCATATGGAAATCCCGAAGGGCTTCTTCGGCACTCTTCTTGAGATGCTCCCAAGGTTCCCATGTAGCATCCTCGTTTTCATAACCTTCCCACAGCACTAGGTATTCCACTCGTCTTCTCTTCTTATTGACCCGGCTATCAGCTACCTCTCGGACAACCCAGTTCTGCTCTCCTTCAATCTCCTCAGGTTCCGGTGGAGGAACTCTTCTCTCAGGATCTACCGGTGCTCTGTAAGGTTCCAGAAGAGAGACATGAAAGACCGGGTGGATTCCCATTTGAGGGGGAAGAGAGAGCTTGTAGGCACGGGTACCAATAGCTTCTAAGACCTTGAAGGGTCCCATCTTCTTCTGATCCAATTTTCCCAAAGGCCGCTTTGTTTGCACATTGCGCCGGTCCAACATTACTTCATCTCCGGGCTTGATTTCAGGTGGTGCCAGGGCATGAGCATCATACCACCGGGCCATCCTTAATCTAGCTTTACCCAAGCTGGCATTCATAGCCTGCCAGATAGATTCCCATTGAGATATCATGACCTCACTTGCTGGATTGTTCCATTCTACTCCTTCCTTTGGGGCCGGCCAGTTGGTCCTGGGTTCATATCCATAGTTGGCATAAAAAGCCGATACTTTGGTAGACTCAGAGACCGCCGAGTTATATGCATACTCTGCCAAAGGCAACAGCTCTGCCCAGTCATCCTGTTGATATGAACAATAACTCCGCAAGTAATGTTCCAGGGTCTGATTAACTCTTTCTGTTTGACCGTCCGTTTGAGGGTGGAAAGATGTGGACATCTTCAGCTTCACATTGAGGAGGCTCATGAGAGATTGCCAAAAGTGAGAGATGAACCTGCTATCTCTGTCCGAGACTATGTCATCAGGCAAACCATGGAGTCTCCAAACTTCCTTCAAGAACAACTTAGCCAAATCTTCCGTTTTATTGAGGGTAGGAAGAGGGATGTAGTGTGCCATCTTCGAAAAGCGGTCCACTATTACCCAGATCTTTGTAAACCCACTAGATTCCGGTAATCCCACAATGAAGTCCATAGAGATGGAAGTCCATGGCCGATAGGGTATCTCCAACGGTTGTAGCATACCAAACTTCTTATGTCTTGAGGTCTTATTCCTCTGGCAGCTGTCACAGCTCCGGACATATTCCTCAACATCCTTATCCATGTTGGGCCAAAAGAAGTTGTTTTTCAGCCGCTCAAGTGTCTTAAATTGGCCAAAGTGACCCGTCACCTTAGAGTCATGGGTATCGGACAGTATTTCCATCTGAAGCTTCTTGTCTTTGGGTATATACCATCTATTCTTGTAGAAGATGAGACCGTTCTTGACCGACAAGTTCTGGTCCAAATTTGGTTTCCTTTCAACCAGGGAGCGGTGCAATTCCTGCCAGAAACTATCCTCTTTAGCAGCCGTGTATAGGCGCTCTAAGAATGTATTCTGCAATTGATTCACCCTGACAGCCACTAGCTTTGCATGATCCAAAACCAATTGACCTGGCCTAAAAAAGATCTGTGGCTCCGGCTGCAGAGTTTCACCTCCCTCTCCAAGGCGGTGATCCCAGCGCCTAGATAGCACATCAGTCTTGCCATTCTTTTCTCCCGGTCTGTAGACAACTTTAAAATTGTAGCCCGCGAGGTCTTCAGACCATCTAGCTTGCCGCCTAGTGAGAACCTTGATAGAATTAAAGTACTCCAAGTTCTTGTGGTCTGTAAAAACCGTGATCTCTTGCTCACAAGATTTGAGCATGTGTTCCCATTCCCGGAAAGAGGCTACAATAGCTCCCATTTCCTTATCATGAATGTCATAGTTGATCTCAGCAGGGGAGAACTTCTTAGAATAGAATGCCACCGGATGTAGCTTCCCATCATCCCCATACTGAGAGAGCACCGCTCTTGGCAAAATCACTGGCATCTGTCTCGACCACCGTTCTCCTACTAGGGTCAAAATGAAGGAGGATTGGAGCGCTTGTGAACAGCCTCTTGAGTTCTTCAAAGGCCTGCTCATGTGCTGCCGTCCAATACCATTTCTTGTCCTTTTGCAGGAGGTCAGTTAATGGTTTGCAAACTTTACTGAAGCCTTCAATAAAGCGGCGATAGAAGTTTGCAAATCCGAGGAATGCCTGTACTGCCTTGATATTCTCAGGAACCGGCCATTCCTTAACTGCCTCCACCTTGTCTTCTGACATAGATACTCCTTGTTCTGAGATATGATAGCCTAGGTACTCTACCTCTCGGACATGGAAGGATGTCTTACTGATCGAGGCACAGAGCTTAGCTTCCCTTAGCTTCTGTAAGACCTTCTTGACCAGTATCTCATGCTCCTTCTCAGTTTCCGAGTAGATGAGGATGTCGTCGATATAGACAACCACTCCTTCATCCAGTAGTTCCTTTAGCACATCATTGATCATTGCCTGGAAGGCGGAGGGGGCATTGCATAGACCAAACGGCATCACATTATACTGATACAGTCCATAGCGGGTTCTGAAAGCGGTTTTCCACTCATCACCTTCTGCTATCCTGATCAAATTGAAGCCGTTCTTCAGGTCTATCTTTGTGAAGATCTTGGCCTTGAACAACCTGTCTCTGAGCTCGCTCATGATAGGCAGCGGGTACTTGTCCTTGACAGTGACCTTGTTCAAACCTCTGTAATCCACACAAATCCGCAATGTACCATCTTTCTTAGGAATGAACAATATGGGCGCCGCAGCAGGGCTATTAGATCTAGAGATCTTTCCTGAAGACAATTCTTTATCCAGGTACTCTCGGAGGGCCTTCAACTCTGGAGCGGAACATGGGTATAGTGGGCCAAATGGGGGAGCGGTACCAGGCAAGAGTTTGATCTTCAGATCATTATGGGAATGCGGCGGTATTTCCTCAATCCTCTCTTGACTGAACACATCAGCCCATTCCCGGTATAGGTGGTGTATTTTCTCAGCAATATCACCTCCGTCCTCATCATGCTGTAACGGAGCTATTTCAACTGTCTGATGTATGAGTACACACAGGGCCCGGTTACATGCTGAGAGTTTTGTTAGAAGCCAGTTGCACGGTGATATGCAAGTACCGGCAGTGTGGTTAGCTACCAGCTGTTAGAGTAACTACATTCCGGGCGCTAGGAAGGGGATCTATTCATGGGAGCAATGACTGACGAGTCTATGCCTCGCCAGTGTCTAGAAGACCGGCCAGAGTGAAGCTCTGATTGTCCGGTGATCCACTGTATCCTCCGAGCATTGTAAGTCTCCGCCGAAGGGCAGGGACTATGCTAGGGAAGTCTACAATAAGCGAAAAGCTCTACAGCAATGATTAAGCTTACACCTGAGCGGCAGCTCATTCATGCAGGTCCTCGGTTGTGTGGCAACCAAGGCTGCAGGTGTTACAAAGGCTTTGACTAAGGGTGGTTGCCTTGGGTATCAGAAACACCTGCTGACGTTTAGAGAAAAGCGGGGTAGCGGTGGTATTGTTTCCGGTACTAAGGGAAGGCCCACCGGAACTTAGTAAAGGAGTTAGGAGCAGAGAACAGAGGCCTTCGGAGTATAACTACTCAGGTTCTTTCTCGCCCTTCAGTCCTGTTTTCTCCAGTCTTCATCAGAAAGAAAAATCAAGTTCTTATCGGTAGCAGAGCCCTTAAAGATTATTGAGTTCTAGCGATAGTATCTTTGAATAATCTGCAACCTGATTGTCTATCTTGCACGGCCGTCTCTATTCTATCCGATTCTATTTCTCTTAGAAAGGACCCCCGTTACAGATAATCTTTAAGGCTCAAGTCACCTTCAGATTATTCTTCCTCTATACAAAATGTCCGCCCTCTCGGCTCCAGATGCACTCCTTCAGATTGAATGGCAGCCGGTGCCCCTCCAGCTTGATGCCACCGGGCAGACACAGCTTGTCAAAAAACCCAGGACCACTCTACAGTCCTACATTCCCGGCTGTGAGCCTGCCTGGCAG